CTCGACTACATTACTTATTTTTCGTTTCGAGAGTACCAGTAAATCAGTTATATGAGATGTATTAACCCTATTTAGTTTAAGGTAATGAAGGACGGGTAATAGAATTTTCCCACAAAGATGTGAGTAGAACTAACGTTTACAATGATTTTAACAGAGCCTTGTTTTCCCAAAAGTTGGTCTTATCTGTTAAACTTCTACTACCGGTCCTTCTTCACCCTAAACAAAATAGGAGAAATGCATTTCATATTACTTTTTAACTGGTAGTCTCGAAACTCTAATTTTATACGAAAAATATTTCCACATTGTCCATCCTTTGCGACCTTATGTTGTTTTGTTTTAACCCTGTACGATCATGTGGCTTCACTTGATGTGACTTCTAGGACATTTTCGACTTTATAGGCATCAAGCCTACTCTTTGCTTCATTTCGTGGTCAAAGCAGATGATTTTGTAACTGCCCCTAAAGAAATTATGCCTTCCAAGTGTATTCTCGAGAGCACCCCACACTTGAATGTCCATCCATTCAAGGAGGCAAATATGCTTGCTTATGAACTCGTGAATCACGGGTTAGAATCCCTCCCGGGCTTCAGGGCTTCAGCAGAGTTCAATTCAGATGTGATGGCACGCAAAGCATGCTTCACACTTCTAAAATATCACTTCCTATAGAAGTTCACGATATATTTCAAAGCAAAAAGGACCAAATTGTGCACCAAGGTCAAACTGAATATGTGCAGCGCATTTTTTTTGTTCATGATCAACGTCTGCTTCACACAAAATTATAGAAAGAATATTGTGCAAATGCCATCATTTTTGGTAGTTTAATATAGCTCGAAACAACTATATTACTCCAATGATATAAGTAAGGTAGATAACTTTTAACCAGTCCTAGTTTTCTTGATGCACTTCATTGAATCACTCGTTGATCCTTTTGAATCATCCATTTTCTGCAGGCATCTACGGCATGGCTTTGGATCCTCCGGCCCGACAGGCAACCACTTTTAGTTTCACTGCTGCAGCTCCCAGACTAGGATACGATGATGATAATAATAATACGAATAATAATAATAATAAACCAACAATAATACGACTATACTTAGGTAGGTGAGGATAACCACGATTGAAATGTATGCCAAACATGCCTAGGGAGGCATGGCTGCTTGAGGAAGACTTAAAGAATGTATGGAAATTTTTTCTAATTCTGACTTGTTCATTAAGCTTAAACTGGATCATTAAATTTCTTACTTGTCTTTCGTCCAGCTTGCCAGAGTACACAAAATATGGCCAAACCTGGTGCCGATTGCAAGTCGTGATTCAAGCCTCTGCAGTCTTCTTTCTGTAATACTCCGGCTTCATCCGAATGGATACAGTCCGGTTAATTGGGTCTATACAACAGGGGATTAGGATAATTATGTGGCAACCAGAGTCATTAGGTCCCTATCGATCTTCACTTTGTTGTTTCCACGATCAGACGTCAATTAGTAAGATCAACCTTTGAGGTCAACTACACTGCGGCAAAACTAAAATATTTTAGGGTTCATGGGTCTTATAATCCACTTTGATGGTCAATAAACAGCGCTAAGCTTCAATTAATGTGACAGTATTTCTAATGCGTGTTATTCATGAGAGAGCACAATAGGAAGAGTATGAATTTCTTATGGAATGTAGATACTTTAAGCTTGATCCTATTAGTGATCAAGGTAAAATGTAGCCATACTTGAGAATAAGTTTTAAAGTCTAGGCAAAATAGGGCTCATCTAATCTAGAATCCCTCTTCGTATCCCATGCCGAATACATGTGGTATATTGAGTAAAATATTGTTTTCTCGGCTCGAATACCGGAGGGAGATTAATGAGGTCAGGGTTTTGTCGATCCTGCAAACTTCACTTCCGAAGAGATTTATGGGATGTTTAAATTCATAGGCCTTATCGAGGACTCGCCACAACTAGAGGTCGTCTCTATTTTATTGACTCTCTGACGGTATGGTTGTTGTGACAGACTGACTACTATCTTGTCCTCCAGCAGTAGTTTGTTACAAGTTGATTTGGCAGCTCTTTTATGAAGACTCTATAGAGCATATTTGATCTCCGATCGTGTTATATCAAATTTGTAATACCTTTGTACATTGCATCTTTGGCTAGATAATTCCGTCGATTTTTTCGTGTCTCAGTTGTTTGCACACAAGTGTTAATTGAACTATACTACTTCTGGCCTTAAACTAGTAGTTGGTTTGTCGGTTTGATGGAATGAGCTGTGGCGCTAGTCCCGTATTTCCCAATTGTAGCTGTCTATTGTGAATCCGACGAAACGCATAGCAGGATATCTGGTGACAGTCCTTTTGCAAAATGGTCAAGTCAAAATGAGCCTAAACTGGGACTTTGCACCAAAAAAAGAGCATAATTTTGTTTTTCCCATATTGAAAAGCATTGGTCTTCTAGGTTGCTGCGTGAGTTTCGATATTGACTTGATTTTCATTTGGGTGAAATGCATGTGATAAGCGATTCGTTGGACGAGCTCAACAGAATGTGACGGTGGACTCTTGATGGTGTGTGATGTCCTTTGGTCATAAAACTTAATGTCCTTGGGGTGGATATTTATGCTATATTCTGCTTACTCTGAACTATCGCTTTGGTTTCGCACGTCCACGCATTCATCCACAGGTGCACACAAACACAGATATACATCGATGTAGACAGATATCGTAAGAAAATAATCAAGTCTTTCAGTATTTGGCATTATCTCAGCTATTTCACGAGTAAATATAGCAGTTAATTTTTTTGACTTATTGTCATCTCGGATGCTGTCTATACAAAAAAACTTTTGATTTTGAAGAATGACTTGATTTGCAACTGTTGAAGTTGTTTCCATTTCTCGTGAAAGTCTGTAATGAAATGATTCGAAGGCTGATCCTATCAAAAGTAGACAGAGGATTCTTCTTGAAAAATTGTCATTTTAGCTTTGGCGGTACATTCTAGTCACAGCTTCTGTGCATCTTAATTCGCTTTTTGATTCTCTCATTTTCTCGTACATACACAGAAACACACGAAGACACACGAAATCCTCATCAACTTCCCCAAATGTGTGTCCAACATTACGAAAACTAGGTGATGGTTAAATTAAGGGCCATTTACACATTATGAATGCTACATTCATACTTTTATGTAGACATGAATGCTCATTAACACACGAACATGCCTTTAGATTGACATGCGATATTAATCAACCAAGTCGCTTTGTACTCTATAAAAATGAAGATGTTCAGCATGTTGATGACTATTTAACCAGAAATAGTTGTAAGAAAGATAGCATGTTTTGGCGACGTCTTTTATTCAACAAACGGAAGCATTCATTCAAGGATATCAATAGATTTTAGTCTTAGATAAACGCTTAGCATGTCGGGATCCGAGTGGAGGGGTATAGCTTTCACCAGAAAATACCAGTAAGACCAAATGACAGCTGTCCAAAAATATTTTGTTCATCGTCTTCTGGTGGGATTTATCTTCAAAATGGCTGTCTCAAGGACGTTTTCGATCTGGATGTCCCAGTTGTATCGAACGACATCGGTTCACGAATTATCTGCTGTAGCTTTTTTGCCAAGATGGTACCCTTTCACTCGAAGAGAAAGGCAAGTTACCGTCTAAATGTGAAATTGGGTACAAGTAGACACCTCGTCGGTCCGTAGAGGCTTTCATCCAAAACGGCTTTGTGGCTCGAAGGTACTTTATGCCTCGGCAACTTGCACGCCTTCTTACGAGCCAGCGCAACCTACAGAGTGGCAGATGAGCTCAATCCAGCGTGTCCTGGCAACACTAAATCTTCCGGGCAGACGACTGCTATTCTCACTTGACGCCAGCAGTTACACACACATACACACACACACACGCACACGCACCTTTTAGATGGTCCGTTAATAGGCCCAGTGGATTCGGGCTATCCATTCGTCAAAACTGCTGCTGCAGCAGTCAGAAGTTGGGTTCCAACATATTCGTGGTGGTGAATTTAGGCTAGTTACCACCCCACAGCAAATCAGTTGACAAGGTGCACACCTTATCAGAGGCTGTGTGAAATTCTCTTTCCCGCCAGACTATGAACGATAAGACTGACGAAGCCTTATATGTAGATAACCCGAGTTGAACTGGAGGGGCATTGCACAATGATCTGCTAATTCAACTTTATTGCACTAATTTTCTTAAAATGATTGGTTGCACACACACACACACACACACACACATTAACACACAATGGGTATGCAAAAGAGCCAAAAATGACAGAAAATCCCCCAAGTCGAGGCAAAAAATGCGGGGATCTATTCGTCTTGTTGGAAAACCCACTAAATGGCATGGGGTCTAGCTCGATC